AATCAGAATAGTTTAGGTAATGCACTTATAATATATTTATACTACAGGAACAACACATATTTAATACATATTACAAATATCACCTTTTACTTGATAATATTAATCAAAATAATCTATAAAACTCATATAATACATGTTATATATGTTCACAAAGATTCGTTTAATTCATTTGTAGATCATTCTCTTGTTTTTCGTTGATTATGGTTCTCATCCATTCTTGATTTTCTATTCTAATTCAACTTGAATATTGCGTAACGCTATTTTAATACAAATTTAATTAATCTTAGAGTTTTTTTATTTATTTGTTTCTATTTGATACTAGTTTAATTCATTATTGACATAAGTTTAACTCACCATATAAATTAATGACTTTTCTTTAATTAATTATTTTTTATTCATGTTTAATTGTTTCTTCTAAATCAACTTTAATATATTTGTAATACATTTTCAAAGACAAGTTTAATTCAATTTCTAAATTTATTGGTTGATATGTTACGATTGAATCACTTGTTTGATTTATTATTGGTAGAAGTTTTATTCAGTTTACAAATAGAAGAATGTTTATTTTTTCATTTGCTACATTTGACATTCATGTTTAATTTTCTTCTATTTCAACTTTAACATGGATTTAGTACATGTATAATTCAATATAATTCATTGGAAGTTTATTATGTGTCTCATTTTTTAAGACTAGATATCTTGTCTAATTAATTATTGATATACATTTTATTCAATCTAAGATCATCGATTTTCTACGAAAAAAGTAGAGAGAAAAAAGAGCAACATAAATAGACAGAGAAAGAGAAATAAAAAAGAAAGCGTGGAAAAAATAGAGATATAGAAAGTTAGAAAGAAATTGAGGAAGAAAGAGTGAGAAATTAAAAAAAGCGAGAGATAGCGAAAACTGACAAATTTAAAAGCCGATAGATAAAAACACATGAAATAAAACATATAGTGTTTTTATATAATGTTACAAATGGTAATAATTAAAAAATATATAAAATAAGAAATTATTTTTGAAAAGAGATCAACACAATTAATTAATCCTTTTATTTTGAGAGGTAAAAGCTTATTTTTGTTACAAAATTAACAGTACATTAATATTAAGTATTAAAAGTATAATATTCAATCACTAAAACTAATTTATTTGATTGATAAAAAATAACCCACTTCTCAAACCCCGCCATCCTCCCCCATTCCACACCTTATTACCGACACCCTCTCTGCCAAACCCCACTATCCCCTCTTCCTAAAAAGAACCTTAGCCTTCTCCATGTTTTATTCCGAAAATAACTTGAGAAAATTAAATAAAAGGTGTCAAATAAGTCTTG